CAGCTTCATCAAAGACAAACTGAACACCTGGAAACAGAAGCTGATGGAGAGGACTCTGGAGGACCAGAACCAGCCAGGAACTCAGATCCAGAGAGACATGTACAACCAGAGACTGAGGACAACCCTGGAGACTCTTCTGAACCTGACACTGAAGACAGTGCTGATTGGAAGGAGACCAGAGAACCAGGTTCAAAGTCTCAGAAAAATAAACAAAACCCTGTCAGTGATTCAAGACGTAGTGCAGGAGAGAATACATTTGGCTGCTCTTTGTGTGAGAAAACATTTACACAGAGAGGAAATTTAAATCGGCACATGAGAATCCACACAGGAGAGAAAACATTTGGCTGCTCAGTATGTAAGAAATCTTTTGGACAGAGAGGAGATTTAAAGAAACACATGAGAATCCACACAGGAGAGAAACCATTCAGCTGCTCTATTTGTAAGACATCTTTTGGACAGAGAGGACATTTAAAGTACCACATGAGAATCCACACAGGAGAGGAACCATTCAGCTGCTCTATTTGTAAGACATCTTTTGGACAGAGAGGACATTTAAAGTACCACATGAGAATCCACACAGGAGAGAAACCATTCAGCTGCAGTGTTTGTGAAAAAAGATTCACCCGGAGATATCTGGTCAAAATCCATAAGTGTGTTGGGTCGTCAGTCCTCACAGCTTCATCAAACTCAAACTGAGGAGAACGGAGAGGCAGAGCCTCCAGCCAGCATCTCAGCTGAACACATGGAAACATAAGCTGATGGAGAGGACTGTGGAGGACTAGAACCAGCTAGGAACTCAGATCCAGAGAGACATTTACAACCAGAGACTGAGGACAACCCTAGAGACTCTTCAGAACCTGACCCTGAAGACAGTGATTATTGTTAGGTTCAAACTCTTTGAGTTAGTCCCAGTAAATGTGTATAACGCGATACCTGCTCGAAATGTGTTAAAACATCATTGCTCTAAGTGAAGTCTGAATGTGTATTAAAACAAATATTAAGCACAGAAACAAGTCCATTGTGCTCTAATGACACCAAAGTAACCAACACTTATGGCAACACTGACAAAGAACCAAAGCCAGCCAAGAACATGACTTTAGCTTCTCCTGACCCTGAAATCAGTGGTGATTGGAAAGATCTGTTATTCCGGTTAAACACTCTGAACCAGTGGTTCTCAACTGGTCAGGCCTCGGGACGCACCTTTTTCCTTTGTCAATCAATCGCGACCCGACATTTGCTTTTCAGCAGACAAAATCAATTAAAGTGAAGTACAGTGCATATATCCCTTATATCCCTTCACAGAACTAAAGTATGCTTTTAAAAAAGGTTTAATGAGATGATGGAATCAAAGCTGAACTGTATAACATAAAAAGGCACACATGCTAAAAACCCAACCCCAGTAGGGGGGTCTGGGGGGATTTTCTCCCAGGAGATTTTTTTGAAATGCTAACATATAAACTACGCATTCTGGCAGGGCCATCCCTGGCCATTTTGTGGCCCCACGCAAAGTCATATGATGAGGCCCTCCGTGTCGCAGCGGCAAAACTGTGCCGCGCTTACACTAATTGAGCCGCATAACGGTGCGCTCAGTTGAGGGCCCCACGTGATCTGAGTGTAGGGAGGGACAGCTCTGCATTCTGGTACACTCTGAGAAGAAAATAAATAAATCTATTAGGCTACTACCCGACATATTAATAATATTTGATGCCATTGTTTGTGTTTCACTTTGTTCTGAAGCTGAACTTGCTGCTCCTCACAGAGAGAAGAGTAAAGAGGAGATGGTCTGTGTGAATTACTTTAAATTGTGGGTAAGGGTAGATAGCTCCCATTGTACTGTGACCTGTCAATCATCAAACCGGGGGTCATATTTCATTATGTGTTCATTTGTATCTGAAGTTGTACCCATGGGTGTATGAGTGTGGGCAAATATTACGCCTGAAAGACAGTCTGAAGAGACGTGAGAATTCACATGGGAGAAGCCATTTGGTTGCTCAGTTTGTGACCAAAAACATAGACATAAAAACCAAAGTGAATCTCCCTTTGAACAAGAAAAAGCAACGGCTGATCTCTTATCGTTTAGTTGATATCACTAGCTAATGTGAGTTACATTTCATCCTGATGCTTTTGAAGAATCGTTGTTAATAAAGTGAACTCTTTTTGAAAAGGAAGGACTCGCTGTGTTCAAACTTCTTCCTGCTGTGTCCCACAAGCTGTTCAGCTGGGCTCCGACCCGAAACACCCACACTATCTTACATTGCTGTTGGCGGCCCGCCCTGTAGCTCCTGGTGCACCACCACTTATTGCTGTTTAGCTAATAAACGTTAGCTATTGTTTAACCCCCTGTGGTCAGACAGTGCAGACCTGTGTCTACGTTCAGGCAGTGAGGGGAATTATAAAAAGATTGTTGTTGTGTTTTTTTAAGCAGACCCGGCAGCAGCTCCAAACAACTGTGACAGCTTAACAGTTAATTTAAAAGCTTAACAACTGTTTATTTTGTCAGTAAACTTTGATAAAGCTGGCGAGGCTATGCAAAGTAATAGCAATTACATTTAAACAGGAAGTACCAAGACATGTGGAAGTCTGCTTGAAATGATTTATTTAATTACCTATTTTTGCCGTTGATTTCCATCCAGTGCTTATGTATAATTATTAATGTATTTAATATCAGTTATTATAGTATTATATGCCAAATAAACACATTTTATAATAACATAAAGGATCACCCTTCCTCCTCAGTCCACTGGAAGTATTTTTATTTATTTAAACATGTTTGCTCTTTGTTCTTATGAATAATTATAAGTTACATTTTTGAAATATGCCAAAATAAAGGTAGTACCAACCCATTTCAGACATCTATATTCTGTGTTATGATTTTATGTTAATCTGTCAGTGAATCATTATTTAAATTAGTAGACGCTACATCAGATACCCCTCTCTGCAGCTGGAGGTGTGTTTGTTTCTGTCCCGGGGCGTCCCTGTGCTGTCAGAAGGTTCCTCTCTGCAGCTGGAGGTGTGTTTGTTTCTGTCCCGGGGCATCCCTGTGCTGTCAGAAGGTTCCTCTCTGCCAGGGGCGGTTCTAGACCAATTTGAGTGGGGGGGCCACTGGGGGGTCAGTTATTTTCTGAGGGGGGCACAATAAATGCAGGACGAAAAAGAGAACTAGACAGTACGAAGTAATTGCGCATAAGAAAACAATGCAATACAGTTATTGGTATTTGTTTCAGTACACTTATTTATTTCAGACAGATCTTATACTGTTAGCTTCAGCATTACATTTATACATTTTTAAATCCACAGAAAAGGATTTAATGCAAAAGTTTACAAATCTTAAATGTTGACTTTAAATAAAATACATGGATATAGATGAAAACATAGATTTCAGATGTATTATTTCCCATAAGCACAGACACGTAGGCTATTTAACAAACATGAAGACTGAACACACCTGTTTTGCACGCGCACCAATCAGTTTCGTCTATTCCGTCACATTTCTAATAAACATAAAACAGTGATATCTGGAAAACACGCATAGTTTCCTTCCCAAAACGTCCCATTACAGCAACATAATCCTGCGGTTTTTGTGATTTTTGGCAAACCGATCAACAAATAAGTCAAGATTCAAAGCCTTTGACCTCCTTGACTCAATACTAAGCAGACCCAGATTGCTCAGTCTCTCATCAGTGATGGTGGATCTGAGAAAAGTTTTGACCAGCTTCAATGTAGAAAAACTACGCTCACAGGAAGCAGAACTGACTGGGATTGTGACTGCTATTTTGCAGAGTCTGAAGAGCTCAAAAAACACTTCTTTATAAGGTTCAATGAACTGAACAAGCTCCACTGTACTATCAGGTCTCTGCATCCCAGTCTTTATTTTCCTATCTAAAATTCTGTTGAACTGATGTAGCTCATGCCCCAAGTCCTCAATATTTGCATCATACAACTGAGCAAATGAAACGGAGTTGTCTCCTTCAGAAATGCATCACTTTAGGGGGTTAAGAGCTTGGATGCTATTCATCATGTCACAGTTTGTGTTTGAAAACCGTCTATTAAGCTCATTGAGCATCTGATCAATGACAGGGTAGAAAAAGGCTGTACGAAACCCGTGTTTATCTTGTTCTGTCTCTCTCTGTCCAACAGTAGTCAGTACGAAGCTTTCAGCAAGTTTAGAGCTCAGTCGTTTTGCTGCTGGCTGTATTGCAGTATCACATTGCTCAGAAATGTTCAACACTTCATCCCACAAGTTATCAAAACATGACTCCTGCCTGAAGTCATTCAATGTCTGAACCAAAGATCCAACTAAATCCACAGCCTTTGAAAGGTCAAGGGATGAAGACTGTAACATGTCAGAGAGAAATGTTGTTTCTGCAAACACTTAACGGAGTGTTAAAAGATGCACAATGAATTCTAGATCCAACTGTGCCAGCAGACCACGTGCCTCAATAGATCTACTCACCATTGCGTTCTTGGGCTATGTCTTGCAGTACTCGCTTGAGGGCCGGTAATCTATCCATTATGTTACGGAGAGATATAAATCTGCATGCCCATCTAGTGTCACTCAATCGCTGGAGTTCTCTTGGGGCACCTTCGTACATCTCTCTTTGGATATCTAGCCATTTGGGGTGGACATACGACCCAGATGTGAAGACTTATAGCTTTTCTAGTAAGGAGAAGAACTGCTCTGCTTCTGGGACAGCTTTGACTGTATCTACTAAAACTAGATTTAGACAGTGAGCATTGCAATAAACATAAAAAGCATATTTAGCTTGCTCTCTGATTCTAGCCTGGACCCCTGAGTGCTTACCGCTCATGACAGCAGCACCATCATATGCTTGGCCTACAAGGTTGTTTTTGTATTCCAGACCGTTACTTTCCAATATGTGAATTATTTTTTCAGTAAGCCCTGCTGCATCTAGCCTCTCTGCTGACTCAAAATGGAGAAAACTCTCCTGGATAGCACCATTGAAGTAGTACCTGACTACAAGAGAAATCTGTAAAAAATGTTTTAACATCTTTTGTTTCATCTGCCATGATGCTAAAGACTTCACTGTTTTTCACTTCCTCTGTTATTTCAGATCGAACCATGTCTGCAAGACAACCCAGAACTTAATTCTGAATGGTTTTGCTTGTGTACTTTTCATTATGAATGGAAGTCAACCTTTTTTTAACAGCTTTGTCATGGTTAGCAATTGTCTCTAGAATGGTCATGAAGTTCCCTTTATTATCTGAGCCTGCAGACTCATTGTGTCCTCTTTGAGCAATGTTTTGTGTCGCAGTAAGTAGCAGCACTTCGGCTATGGTTTTTATATATTCCCGATTTTCTTGAACCAGTTTCTTAGTTCTTTGTTAAGTACATTTGCCAATGTTGCATTGGATGTCACAGCTCTCTGGTAGTCTTTCCATGCAATCATTGCGTGCTCAGATTTGGCATGGATTGCAAATCCCCCCTCTTTGTATGTTGCCTTCTTCCAGTTTTTGAAACCTGAAAGTGAATCAAATACAGTGTCTGTGCTATTCGGAGGGCTAAAATGTCTGCAGGCGTAACAATGAGCAGAGTCTGACATTTTGGAGTACTCAAGCCAGGGGTGAATCTTGTACCAGTCAGCCTTGAAACTCCTTCTCCGGTCGCCCATCCAGGTCCTTGGAAACAATTTAGGGTGTGGTTGCATTGGTGGCTCCTCTTTGCACTTGCTGATATCTGTGGAGAAAGATAACGCAAATAAATATGTTATTGTTATTATTATTATAATTGAAACCGATCATTATAAATGCACATTTACCAGAGCAATGAACAACCACAAATTAGATATCTATATTAATAGATTTATGACAAGAAGCTGCTTTCTCCCTGTTATATTTGGTTAAGCCAGACAACAGACTTTAGGATAAGATAAGGGCTTGCCCGGACTCAAACAATCTCGGCTGCCAACAATAAATATAATAATATTAATAAATAAATATAAATAAGCTATGAAGAAACAGAAAAATAATTGTAATAATGTGCATATATATTTATATATGTATCTATTTATTACACTTTTTTTTTGTTTTATAATAAAAAAAGAGGGAAAAAAGAAGTATCTATATTATGAAGTAAATCATGTATAAATCCAACTCCATATGAATACATAAAATGTAACTGACACTGTAATCCCCCTGCCCGCCACCCTTCATGTTATTGTCCTGTCCTATTTGTGATGTGTGTGAGCCATGTCCTCTGTATGTTTTTGTCTTTGAAAATGTTTAATAAAATATAAATGTTAAAAAAAATGAATTAGTATCACACACACTCATTTGATCTGTAACTAAGATTAAAGCAGGCACATTTGTTTTTCAAAATCACAAACCTGATGTTCCAGTACTTGTGGATCTATCCTCTATCTCACTCTCGATGTCATCCTCAGCCTCACTCTGTGACTCCCCATCTTTCTCTGCCTGCTCTGAACCTTCCATTTCCAGATCAGTCTCTCCTGAAAAGTCCTCCGGCTATCTCTGTGGCAATCTGCACTTCCTGCTGTGTGTTACTGTCTGCCTCATCATTATTTTTTTTGGGGGGGCGAAAAAGGACATAATGTCCTTTTTTCGCTACATTTTGAAACTATAGAGCAAACACAAAGGAGGAGGACAACAATTCAGAAACGCAGAATATAAATGTATAACCGCTAGATATATTTCACAACTATATAGCTAGGGTGACCAGGTGTCCCGCTTAAAATAGAACGAAATGGCGGGATGGCGGTGTAAAATGGAGCCTGAGACAAAGAAAATGCAGCTACAACAAAGCCTGGGAAGGTACTCATTATTGGGTAAAACCGGTGGATGGAGATTCCACCCAGAGCGTGTTCTGGCTCGGTTCGCTGACGGCCGGCACCCCGCCTTTATTATTTATTTATTTTAAACGGCATCATTTAAGGCGCTGACATGTCATGTGACAGATGATGAAAGCAAACGGTTTGCTGTCGCTGATTACTTTGCACACTACGTTAACTAACGTTAGTCAACAACAACACTTACTGACCTAAAGTCTTACCTTGTAACAATTACACGGATATAATAGTTTAACTCACCTTCAATTATCGTGGTGGTGGTCTCTGGAAACGTAGGTTTCAATCAGTCTTTCACTCTTTCTTGGATGCACAACAGCCTCTGATGATCCGAGATGAAAAGTGTTTATTTTTCGCGCGCTACAGCCGCACAGTGAAAGCGAGTGCACCGCTCTAATGGGTCCTGAGTGCACCGCTCTAATGGGTCCAACTAGAATGACGAATAACGTTAGTTCCGCCTATTCCGCAATTCAATAAATCGTGTAATAAATCTTTTTTTTTTTTTTTTCCCACTTTACATTGTTAGGGGGGCCAAAGGGAGGTCAGAGGTCAGTGTTAGGGGGGCACTGCCCCCCCCCCCTAGAACCGCCCCTGCTCTCTGCAGCAGGAGGTGTGTTTGTTTCTGTCCCGGGGTGTCCCTGTGCTGTCAGAAGGTTCCTCTCTGCAGCAGAAGGTGTTGTTCCTGTCCCTCTGAGCAGTGGTCGTCCCACGGGTTGACCTGCTCACAGTCTCCACCTGCCGACAAAAATAATAATATAGGTTCAACCTGGGTAAGGATGAAAATACGTATACAAATAATAATATACAAATACTTCAAATTAAAAATGTAATTAAAAAAACTGCGTAAAAACTTTACAAAAAGATTTTAAACAGTTGATAATAAAAGTTTAAACAATAAAACTAAATATATAACAAATGTATACAAAAATTAGAACCTAATATAAAAAAGACTAAAATTAGACATTTAAACATCACAAATAAATAATAAACATAAATCTAAAATATATATAAACAATAAAATTATACTTATATAAAAACGATCCATACACACTCCCAACTAAATATGTAAACATGGCTATAGACAGAAAAAAACATACATGTGATCAATACATACACACTGGAAGTACATTTTAAATTTGAATAATAAAACTAAATATAAAGTCAATTATAATAAAATATATGAATAAAAAGAGAAATATAATATTTAAAAAAACCTAAAAAAGAAAAAAACCTTATTCCAAGCGACTTTGTTAACTACTTTGAAAAAAAGGTTGATGATATTCGCTCTTCTTTTTCTGACTCACCTTTACTCACCGCTGGGTCACCTGACCCATCTTTCGCCCACACACTAACCTCCTTCTCCCCTCTCTCTCCAAGTGAGGTTCTTACCCTCATTACCTCTGCCCGTCCTACCACCTGTCCTCTGGACCCTATCCCCTCAAACCTCCTTCAGACTATCGCTCCTGATATTCTACCGATTCTCACCCATTTCATCAACCCAACAAACTCCCAGAAACCTGCCGGTCCGCTGCAACTCTGACTACTTTGAAATCCAGGCTGAAGACTTTTATTTTTGCCGCTGCTTTTAATTGAACTATTCACATCTCACACTGCACTGTAACTTTTATTCATGTACCTGTGTTATTCATGTTTTATTCTCTTTGCTTTTAAATGATTGTTTTTAAATGCCATTACATAAATTGTTTCTGCTACACTATTTCTAAATGCTCATAATGTTTTTCATTTTAGTAAAGCACGTTGAATTGCCTTGTGTTGAAAGGTGCTGTATTAATAGCCTGCCTTGCCTCACACCGCTTATGTTAGTGACTGATCTCAACCTGGTGGTCCTGAGATTAATGGAAGTGTTTATCTTGCTGGATAACTGAGACGGGGGATTCAGAGAGGCCAGTATACTTACTATTAGACAAATATCACTCGTGACCGTCTTGAGCTTCAATCTCAGGATCCATGTATTTATGATCCTCTCAAGAATGGAAGTAGTCATCACATACAGAGCATTTGGTACAACTAGTTCCTGAACAGTGTCCTTCACATGCAAGAGAGGGAGTTACACAGTCAAACGATACATGGATACCGGTTCAAAGCAGTATTCTATGCTTAGTTCAGATTAGCTCAAGCCTACCTAAGCAATAAACATTACATTCATATGCCTATCTCCCTAGGGGCTGTGTCATCATGTTAATCATAAGAACAAAGCTATCGTATGTTCAACACAGTATCTCATGAGCTTCATCTATGTAATCATACATCCTGTCATGTACACAGCTACAGTTGGGCCTTTGTTATCATGTGCTACTCTGATATTGAAAGAGTACATCCAGTATTTTCCCAACAGTTACATATCGAGAGTGGTGAGGGGGGAAGACGGAGGATCGAGAGAGGTGATGTCCGTTCAGAGAGTAAACGTCTGCGGGGGGCTGAGCTCTGAACACACTGCACAGCATGGCCAGAGTCTGGACGTCACTCATGTGGCTGTCGTGATCCAGACTGCAGACACACACACACACACACACACACACACACACACAACACACACACACACACACCACACACACACACACACACACACACACACACACACACACACACACACACACACACACACACACACACCACACACACACACACCACACACACACACACACACACACACACACACACACACACACACACACACACACACACACACACACACACACACACACACACACACACACACACACCACACACACACACACACACACACACACACACACACACACACACACACACACACACACACACACACACCACAGCACACACACACACACCACACATTAGTTTTAACAGTCAAATACTGACCTCACTTTGTTCCTCACCAACAGAAACTTGTCTATTTGAGGTTTTTGAAAATGTCCATTTCTAAAACACGTGGATCTCAGAAGCTCCTGTCTCTTTCTTCACCTCCTAAAACTACAATGCATGTTAATAAAAAGCAACCGAATAGCAGTCAAGGAGGAACAGGCCTGCGTGTTATTAAGATAACATAAGATGAGATAAGAAGTACTTTATCGATCCCAATTAGGGAAAATGTTTGTGTGGCAGCAGCATAAAAAGACAAGACATTGAACATTAGAGAAATGAAAAGACTAGAAATAAACAATCAAAATGACATATTATTTTGTTAGTCAGAAGTGCTGAAAGAAGACTTAAATGTTGTTGGAAACTGCCAGCTCTCTAAATGCAGAGGTGTTCATCAGTGGCCCTCTACCCGCCAGTCAGAAGAGGAGTGGAGAGATTCAGCAGATTGTTTGCACTGAACACCTGGCTTTCAACGGCCTGTACTGACCATTCTGTTCATTTTATTGACAATTTTAACTTTTCTCTGGGATCGCAGACATCTTTTCAAGGCAAATGGAGTTGCCTGAACAAGTCAGGAGTGAAATTGTTTATCTCTCACATATTCAACTGCCTGCGTCATCAATCTGTTCCCTCTGCCAAGGACAAGCGGCAAGAGGAATCAAAACACAAGAAAGACACAACACATCACGCAGAAAACCCTGAAGAATTATCACTGCACCCGCCTGAGGAATGTTCTGATTATGGGAGACCTATGAGACAAATGGAGGAGTCTCCACTGCCCCCCCCCCTGTCAACGCCTTTGAGGATACTCCGTTCACTCTTTCACCCCTCGCCCACCCTCCTGGAGATCGATGAACACACAAAGGAGATACAGAGGGTTGGCACCGATTCCTTCCTGGAGTTCAAAGACCAAACAAAGGCGATACGCAGGGCTGGCACCATGTCCTTTACCCCCGCTCCTCAACGACGTCCACCAAAATCACCGCGGAGACGCGCACCATCGCCCCCGTCCTCATCACCGCGCCTACGTCAACCACCTCCCCCCCCCTGGCAGCATGTCCTCTACCCCCGCACCATCTAGCCCGTCTCCATCACCGTGCCTACGTCGACCATCTCCCCTCCCTTCGAGGGGGCATCTGCAGTCTCCGAAGCCTGATAAGGATGTGTGTGTACAAAACACAACAAACTCTTACTGATATGTGATGGGTCCAGGCTCAAGGGCGTATGGCACTCTCAACTCTTTCCAGGACATGTCGGGGCCCTGCCTGCCAGCAGCTTTGCCGATATCTGTGTTGATAGGTAATAGATTAAGAGCGGTGAATCATAGAAACAGGAAGCGCTCAAACGTTTGTGTGAGTGTATCTAATTTAGCAGTGATTCCATGTCAGCCACAGCTTGTTACAAAAAACATGACTGATAGTGTGTTTAACAAACTTAAACTAGCTTTATTAAATGTCAGGTCTTTGGCAGGAAAAACATTTGTAATCAATGATTTTATCACTGAGCACAATCTCGATTTTATGTTTTTAACAGAAACTTGGATTGAACAAAATAACAGTGCAGCTGTTCTTATCGAATCAACCCCTCCCAACTTTAGTTTTATGAGTCAGGAAAGAATGCATAAGAAAGGGGGTGGAGTTGCTATTCTGTTCAATGATTCCCTTCAATGCAGGAAGACATCGTATGGAAACTTTGATTCTTTTGAATATGTGGCCCTTCGGCTGAAATGCTCCTCTCGAGCTCTGTTCCTAAATATCTATAGACCACCCAAATACTGTGCAAGCTTTTTGATGACTTTACTGAACTGCTGTCTATAGTGTGTATTGACTTTGACCGTCTAGTCATTGTTGGTGATTTTAACATCCATGTTGACAACCCCCAGGACAGAGGGGCTAAAGAACTGTTTTGTGTTCTTGATAGCTATGGACTGACTCAGCATGTGACGGAGCCCACGCACAATAAGGGGCACACTCTGGACTTAATTATCTCAAAGGGTCTGAATATCTCTAAGGTTGTGGTGACTGATGTTGCACTCTCTGACCATTCCTGTGTTTTCTTTGAGAGCTCTATTTCTGTTCACAAAAATGTTCAAAAAGAGGTAACCACAAAGCGATATTTAACTGAAAATACTAGGGAAATGTTTACTCAGAATTTCTCTTCCACACTTGCCCCTGCCAACATCTCAGTAAATGAGCTAGTAGATCATTTTAATTCAAAAATTAAAAATGTTATAGATGCCATTGTTCCAACTAAGGTAAAGGAAGTGTCTGGCAAGAAAATATCTCCATGGAGAAAGGCCATGACCGTGAAAACAGAAAAAAGCGAATGTCGAAAAGCTGAACGCAGGTGGCGAAAAACAAATCTCCAGGTTCACTTTGAAATCTATAAAGAGAGACTTGGCCTTTATAATTTGGAATTGAAAAACGCACGACAATCGTTCTTCTCTGACATCATTACCAAAAACAAAAACAACGCACGTGCCTTGTTTGCTACCGTCGAC